AAGCGGAAACAAAGGTAGCCTAGACCTGGAACCAAGACAGGTTTTCCCCCGAGTGATGGAGCAGTCCTACCAGAGGAGACGCCTTTTCCCCCTCGGTGTTATTGAGGTGGGGACGAGACCGAGAAAGGAAGCCGTATTTGGGAACCCGGACCCGAATGTAGAAGCAAAGCACACAAGCAAGTCCCCCAGAAGTCAACCTGAACACTGAAAAGACGGCTAACGTTCCCCTTCTCGGCAGGAGTCCTGAGAGCGCTACAGCTCCCTTCTTGTGCGGTGTTCCCCCCTCGGTATTATTGAGGCGGAGGCGCACCTGCAAATCCCCCGAATCCCAAAAGAGTCGCAGAGGACCCCAAACCAAAAGGACAGACAAGCAAGTCCCCCGCAAGCAACCTGAAGTCTGAAGCTGAGATTGCAGGGATGTTTCCCCCTGTTCGGCTGACCAAGTGAGCATGTCGCTGGGGTTATTCAGGAAAACAAGTGACCTAGCCAAGCAAACCAGAGGAAACAAGTAAACATGAAATTCGCTCCCCCGCGGCATGACTTTGGTCGCTCCCCTTTCACGGCTCCCCCGGGGTCAGAAGTAGTCCTGGGCATGAGCAGCGAGTTCTCGACGGCGCCGGTGGGAAGCGTCAGAAGCAGGTTCACTCGAGGATCCTCCCCCGCTGTTGTGGTGCAGGCTGTCCTCATCAACACTCATTCTTGCACTGTCCCCCAGCCCATGATGCCTGTCGTGCAGCCACCAGTCGGCTTGTCTTGCAGCTTGTCGTGGGTCCCCCCGCCGGATCGGCGGCTGAGAATCCGCAGCAGTGGCAGCGATCTCCGCTGCTTGGCTGTGCAAGATGGCTGACGTGGTGTGCAACAGGTTGAGGAGGTCGGCCTGCAGCGTGGCCTGCTCGTCGTGGTTCCACTGCGCGAAGGAGGTTGCAATCTGCTCGAAGATGAGAGCGTATTCCCCAGGTTGGATGCCCTCGAGCTCCGGTTGCACGTTCTCTTCCGTTCGTTCCCCTTCTGTTATCTCAAACAGAGACCGAAGGCTTTCCCCCACGGCCATTAGTTGTCGCCAGTGGTCCAGAGTCGCCGTCCCTTCGAGCTCTTTCTCTCTCTCTCTCTCTCTCTCACAGCGAGTTCCGCTGATCTTTCAATGCTGGTGCGGCGCTGATACCGCTAGCACGAAAGTTGAAGAGTCGATCAGTTACGTGGCTCGCCTAATGCAGCCGTTTACTTGGTGTCATGTTACTCTTGACTTGTACCAGTGTCTTGTACTACTGACTGAAGCAGCGTAAGCTTGCATGCAGTCCGTTGCATGTTGCAGCCGAGGATACCACTCGCGGACTCCGCGTCAGCGCACGGCGCTGGTGGCTGCTCCGAATTGGAGGGGCCTCTGCATATCTTCGGCCGAAATCTTTGCTCCACTTACATGACACGGGGGAACCAGGCGTTGGTCTAAGAGGACATCATTTCGTAGTGTTTTGGGTGACTTTGGGGCTTTGGGGATCGCTGCGTTCACAGCTATAGGCTGTGGGAGGGCGTATAAACTCCAGAGCTGCCGCAACTGTTTAACTTGGTTGGGGCTTCTGGTTTATATAAGCCTTTGTATATAAGCCTTAAGTGCGAGATTGCTAAGTCCGTGCAAGGGATCTGGGCACGAGTACCACTGCAAAAGCCAAAAAGCAAGAACTAATTATTTTAATGACACCAACATGACAATTAGATGTAGGAATAAGCGCACCGCAGCATGAGAAAAAGAGTCCAGGTATGCGGCCCCCCGGCCTTTGAGCTCCCGTGGGGACAGTGTGCGATATGACAAGAGACGCCTGAGTTGTCTTTGAAGCGGTCGGTGATAGCGCGGTTTGGGGTTGAGAGGCTCGGGGCTGAAGTAGATCAGTTTTCGCTGGGAGCAGAGGATCCAGAGAGCTGAGCGACATCCTGTACATGTATGTTTCGTGGTTTAAGTGCTTGAGCATTCCGTTTGGGGTCCACCCTCGAACTCTAGCTCAGGGTCAGCTGCTTCTTCCGTAAGCACCTGAAATCGGCCACCGAGGGAAGGGCAGGAACTCCAGCATGGCGAGTCGGAGGATCATGAGTAGGGTCGCAAGTAAACAAGGTGCAGACCCAAACCCTAGTAGCAGCTCCAGTCGGAATGAAGCCTTCTCGGGACAAGTGCGCCGAGCTGCTCCAACTCTGCACGCATCTCCTTGCAGTCTTCGCAGAGAGAGACCTCCTGGCAAGCCACCAAGTTTTGGCTCGACGATGTAGGGCTTCGGGTTTTAGCCCCGATGTAACTGAGATGACTGGTAACATCAGTATGCCAACTCGAATATCCTTACGATTGGAACCGTTACTCGTGCTGCTGCTGAACATCTTCGACATGGCTTCTGTGGCCATTTTTCAGTGTCGGTCTCAACATTTCTAATCTGTGCCTGCTTATTTTGCTGTTCTTGCGAAGCTACTGAGAATCTCCTCATGGTTATGGACATGCATACGAGCTTTGTTGTTGAGAGCTGTGTTGTTCTTGTAATGCTTGTTCTTCCGATCGGCCTGATTCTTCCTACTGTTCCTATGATTCCAATTGTTAGTCCTCCTGTTCGACTTCGTTTGGTTGCCATTCTGGGCCTATGGTGCTTGCTGCTGTTATGAACTATCTATCTGGAAGCCTCTGTGCTTGCCTGCTGCTTGGTTCCGACCACGGCGGCCAGCCGTGGCCGCCGGCTGAGGGTTTTAGAGATTCGCTGTTTAGGTCTGCTTACACCAGACCTTCCGGAAGCTCTGAAACACGCCGCGCCGCCATTGACTACCAGCATGGCCATTATTGCCCGAGTCGAAAGGCGTTGTTCACCGCGAAAAGGGAGTGTTACAATTCAAAGCAGTCACGCTTCTTGCTGTCAGTGGTATTCTTTTGAACTTCTCATACTGCCTTTCGTAGTGTGGTAGGAAAACGTTACTGCGAAACCTGGAACCATGACCTCAAGAACTCCCTACCTATCCTTAGTCTTGCTAGTCTCGCTAATCTTAGAGTTGTTGCGATGATTAGTTGATTGCAGCAACTGGGGAGTGCTGCTGCCATAGTACTACGGCTGAGAACACTACTCCTAATTTTACTGATTCTACTACTGCTGCTAGTTGTTGTTGTGCAGTACTGCAGCTTCATAGCTGCTACACCTGTAGCAACTATAACACTTGAACTGTTCTGTATCTCCGTAGAGGCGTAGAGCAGGCTACGGTTTGCATGCTGGCTGGATCTTATTCATGTCACACCTGGTTTAGTGCTTGCTATCAAAACAGCGGTCATGTTGATGGCAACAACAGTGATGATGTAGTTGATGATGATGACGACGATGGGCTGTATTCGTGACGGCGATGATGACGACGACGATGAGAATGATCACACATATGCAGATCGCACACGTCATCTGCAACGGCCGCAATGGTGACGGTTCTAGTGAGATGATGTGATGATGATTCTGGTGATCATGACGGTGTTGAACATGCTGATGAAATTGTGAAGATGATGCGGTTCAGGCAACCTGTATCATCTTCAGAATCCGTAGCAGAATTGAGGTAATTTTCTCCTGTGCTTCTTCCACAGGGCCATGTCGCGGCTGTGCTGCCTCGGCAGCCTCTGCTGCGGCCTCACGGATGCTAGCACTGTGCGAAAAAGGCGTACGCCTAGTCATGCTCGTCAGCATCACGACCAGAAGTCTATAGCAAGATTCATGGCACAGCCGCGTTGCCACAATCAAATCCCGCAAAAATAGCTGAGTAGGATTGCCAGAACTTCAACCAAACCCCTCAGCCCTGAAACAGCCTCAACTCAGTGCCAAACCAAGCCGAAAACCTCTGAGCTGAACTGCAGTTCTCTGACACTGGGAAAACGAAGCCTGGGAGCCAGAATCAAATCCTCCAGTGAATACATACCTACCCCTAGAACCCTTACAGAAACATTTCTAGCAACCCGTATAGCGTGCCCGATCGTAACCGTCATATGAACCCTTCTAGGAACCCTCTTATCTTCAACCCTTATCTTAGCCATTATGGCAACCCGAGTAAGTCAGTCTGTAATGGCAACCGTATAATAGCAACCCTTTATTATAGTAACCCTAAACCGCAAACCCCAAAGTCTAAGTAAGCCATACACCCTAAAACCTAAACCCTTTATTCTTGTAGATGCCACCCGGGCCTCGGCCACGGCGCTGATCTTCTGCATGCGCTCCTGGGGTCGCACCCATGTCGGGCAAACTTTGCACGGTTGTGTGTCTCCGCCGTAGAATTCGCAGTTTTTTGCGCCTTGTGGGCCCCAGTTTGAAGCCAGAAATTTGCCTCAAAATTGGGTCCAAAAAACGGGCCCACCGGGTTAGCAACTCTTCAGGAAGATCCCGTTTCGGGTGTCGTTCCAGGCCTCGAAATTGGACCCAGCCTGGGCCGGTAAAGCGGTAAAACCTGCTCACCATCTTATGGAGACATGCGAAGCATCTTTGCTCGAAATGCAACCATGCACCGAAAGTCCCGGGCGCACAACAGACAGCCATACAATTCTGTAAAGTAAGGGTTGTGTGCCAGAAATGCAAAGTATAGAAATGCACGGCAAGCTGAATTGCAACTACACGAGAGGTCTTGAGGCCGGTTTGCCAGGAAAAGACTCCGTTCGCACGCCCAGTTTCGGGTCTCGTGGAGGAGCAGAAGAACTTTCACAACGCTGTGGTCTTTCTTGCTTTTGAACATCTTCCTATTTTTGTTGCGTTGTACTGTTCGCTAAAACTGGGTCTGCGTTTGATCGCACGTTCCGTGTTGTTTTTTGTCATGGTCGGATCTGGGGTTTAGGAGTCTGGGATTGAGGGTTTAGGAGTTGGGATTCTGGAGTTTCGGGCTCAGGATTTAAAAAGTTTAGGCGCCACGGTTTAAGGCAGGCTTCGGGAGTCATGGTGGGGATAGTCACCTCGATGTACAGAAGCGGGTCTTAAGGGAGGAACCTCTCGAATCCATTGAGAGCTTCGGCAACGATTCTAAAGATCATTTTCGCTTCCTGCAGAGCAAGCCCTGCTGACCCAGTGCCAGGCCCTTCACAAGGGCCACAGTCTTGACTTGGACACCCAAAGCATGTGTTGAAATTCATGGCCTCGCATTCCGAAGTTTCACACGGTTGTAGATTCTGGCACGGTGGGTCCGCCAGGTGAGTCCAGGCTCTGGGGCTTGCGGTCGAGAAGGCAATAAAGCCTACACTCTGCATGTAGCCTGCGGACCATGCCTACTCAGTACTGGTTGATACCAGTACAGTTCGGCAGAAGGCAGGGACATAGACAGCCCAAAAAAAAACTGCTATATTCACTTGGCTGCTGACATAAACACCCCAACCCGTAGGCTCACGACACCGCGAGACCAGCTACCCGAGCCCTCCTGCCCCCTTATTCGTGCCGCTCCTTCCTGGCATCTTCGGCTTTGGTACGAGCAGAAGCCTCCTCGCACCTGGGCCACACACCGTGTAGAGTGGGAGTGTTGGCTCACAGCCGAGGCCATGTTGAAGTAAGTCAGCTCCAGCTGCAATCACTCGCTCAACAGTCTTTCGCGCTGACGCCACATTGCAGTTACACCAGTGCTGTATTGCAAGTGCCCAGGGCTGCGATGAGTCTGAGTCATTCGTTTCCATCAGCGAGGGCATCACATCTGCTTCCACGGGATTTAGACGCAAGCAGATTTCAGGGTCAGGGTTTGAGGTTGAGGGCCTGGGTTTTGCTACGTGGATGGTCGGCTTGGTCTTTGCTGAAAACGAGTTTGAGACTTTCTTCGGGTACAAGGAAAAATGGAAGTTGGTCTGCGGAGAATCATCCTGGCAGCAACCCTCCAAAAAAGGGCCAGAAGCATACCTCAAACACGAGGCTGATGCACAAATGTACAGCCATAATGCTGCGAAGGCGGCTGTTAGCCAGATGCCCCTAAACACCTAACCTATCTCCCTAAACTCTGAACCGGAACCGTGTCATGAGCCCGAAAGCCACCACAAGAAGAAGCCGCAACCACAAAGCGAAGCTGTAACGCGAGCCGGGCGGCTTCGCAACCTCCTCCCGCCGCCAGGCCGCGGCACTGCGGGCCCTCAGCAGCTTTCGGTCGTTTGCTTGGAATCTGGTAGTAGTAATCGTGACAGTAGTAGCGGTGGTGATAAACAAAAACAGAGTTTGTAAAAGCAACAGGAATAGCAGTACAAATGCCATACATCTAAGTAATCGCTACCGCTGCAGGAAGAGCAATAGTATTCATCCCTTGCCTTCACACCTTACACGGGAAGCTGTTTGGGGTGTGGGTTTTGCGTTTGAAGCTATGGCGTCTGCAATGTTGGTTTTTGCGAAACGCCATGATGCCTCTCCGGTAGCTCGGTGCAGGGTATGAAATCCTATCCTTTCTTAAGATCTCGAGCCTAGAAACCGCAAGCATCAACAAGACAAGCTGTAGAGCCGTTATGAATCAGGGGTCTGCATCATGACCAACGATGCGGGCAGGGTCCCGTGAAACCCCTCTTTCTTGAGGACTTCCTGAGAGCCCGGGCCTTGCGGCTTTTCGCTGCTCGGGTGTGGGCCGTGGCGCCCGGCGCGGGAGCTCGGTGGCAGCCTCACCATGATCATCTGGGACTCCGGGTCTCGGTTTGGGTGCTGGGTATGATGTCCTTGGGGCTGCCTTTGAACAGAAACCCTTGCAATCTTCAGCAAGCAAAGGGTTCCTGAGGGAGCTGAGCCGACGGCCTCGACAACCTCCGTGGGTGCCGATGCAGCCTGAAGAGGCTGCAGGGAACTCAGCTGGCAAACCCGAAAGCCTTTCGGAACTGTGCGGGGAGGCTTACGGACAGTTTTGAAGCTATTGGATTCCCCGCACCTCAACCCAAGTCAGTTGCAGGCTCTCGCCCGACATCTCAAACTCCTACGAGCCCTCAACCACCAAACTCGTTGCCGTGGCCTAGACCTCTAGAAAGATGAATCTCTAAAACCCCAAAATACCCAAAGCCAGACGTCCCCAAGCCGCTTAAGCTCCGCCCTGAAGAAGCGGTTCCTGTGTGGAGCCTGGCCTTCACGTCACGGTGCTCCGCCTCGCGCCGAACCAGCTCCTGGCTTTACAGAGCTCCGGGGCTTCTTCTGAAACCAGGCCCCCAGGCCTTCTACTAGTAGGGCCTGGGGCTATACAGAGCTGTGCATGTCAGCACATTCTGAAGGGCCGGCGCCGAGAGGGGTTCGAGCATGATCTGGCTTGAGTAATTGACGGAGCTTGCAGGAAGCGCAGGGTCTTTGCAGCAACTAGAACTCCAAGGCTTTGCACCATCGGTGATCAAATAGCCATGAGCCACTGGCTTGGATCACGACAGCAAAAAGAGCTCACTTGCCCTTGGCTTGGTGCATCACTGGCCGTGGGCAAGATGCCCGCCTTCGCTGCCTGTGCCATTCGGCCCAGTGACGCGGCGCGCTGTGCGCGCTTTCGCTCGGCGGCAGCCACCTGCACTGAGAGATTTCCGCAAGGCGAGATGCAGCCCTGTCCCGTTTGCCATCTTTTTCTAAGCAGCCTAAGGGAGACTGCACGTGTCAGAACGACATACCATTGTGGACAGACAGCGAGGCAGAAAAACAAACAACGACCTCTCAATCTGCAGAGACATTTGTCCGTGCCAGCACCTCTGCGGCTGCTGCATCTGATTTTTCATCAATTCATGCTGTGGCATGTTATACTGTTATAACGTGCAATCAAAAGATTCAAGACGAGCCTTGCACGGCTGAAGAAATATCCCAAACAGCATGGCGTTGAAGAGACTGAGCGGCTGCCGGCTGTCCCGCCTCTGAAGCTCTCTGCATCTCCTCTCAGGTCTTTCGTACTTTGTGGATCAGGGTCTGAGGTTTCTTGTTGATGGCGCTGTCTTGAATAAACAACGTTCCATGCGTATTGTTGCGACTACTCCAATGATTGTTCTGACTACTACAAGTGTCACGCGCTACTGCTACAGCAGGCGGCGAGGTTCGCCTCCTTTGAGTAGTGGTACAGGTCTTGCGGGTCGTACCATGCCTACTCCTGCTACTGCTCTTGCTGCCCCATTAATCTGACAATTCCGACCATCCCCATCATCCTTGTTCTGCTTTTGCTTGCCCAGCTCAACCCTGCCATTCGCTCTGTTCGAAGTTCTCGCGCCATGGGTACCAGTATTTCTGTTCCGCGGAACTATGAAAACTGTATTGCCGTCGGCTTCGCTGTATGATTATGCGGCCGTATTGTCATTGAGACTGCGGTTCTGAATGAACACCATTGTTGCCGTTGTTATTCTTTCCCCCATCTCACGAGCCCCTTCCCGTCCCTTGAGTTTTCAACCCCAAAGCAGGCTTCCGAAGCTCCGAAGCAACCCACCATGCGAGGCCCCTGAGGATCCTTCTGGATCTTTGGTTTAGGGTTTAGGGTTTAGGGTTTAGGGTTTAGGGTTTAGGGTTTAGGGTTTAGGGTTTAGGGGGATGGAAGTAGGGTGAGTGACTTTTCCGGTTCATGTTCTGGCACTTCTGCTGTGCTGCTGCGCCCGGAAGGAAAAGCATCTCAACGATTCCAAGCGTGCCCACAAATTTCCCCAAACCTTCCTAGCCTCCCTAAGTGAACAGAAACAGCCCAGAATCCAAAATCTCTAAACAAAACCCCTACACTCCCGACTCCCAGTCCTCAACAGCTCGCCGCTGCTGTGCCGAGTGCGCTGCACGCTGCACCCGTGCTGCACGGAGGCCACGCACTGCTTCCTCACAGAAAATGTGCTGAAACCTACGGCTTTGGCTTCTCTCTACATACACCCACACCTACATGCAGGCATACAGATATACCACATCGACCACCACATCTGTACTGGTGTTTTATACGCAAATTTTGGTTGTCGATTACATGTGCTTCGATGTGGTTCGGTGTTGCAGTCGTGTCTGTGTATGCATATGTGTGTGTGTGTGTGTACGTGCTTGCTACTGTCAAGTTTCATATAAGTATGCATTTAGGTGGGCATGTGCTTCGGTATGTGTGGGTTTGCTCATCCTTGTTTGTCTCGGTTGTCGAAATCACTCTGCCTATGCTTCTTTACATGTGTATATATATATATGTGTATGTATGTATGTATGTATGTATGTATGTATGTATATATATATATATAATGGGTGACGCCCGAGTCAGAAAAAGGAGTCGAAAACGGTAGAGACCAATTCAGAAAACCTAGGGGACCGAGTCAGAAAGTGGAGAGGCCTGAGTCGGAAAACGAGGGCTGCACGAGTCGGAGAGCAAGGCTAGCGAGTCAGAAAACAACACAGAGGCCTAAACCCTAAACCCTAAAACCTAAACCCTACCCTAAACCCCTAAACCCCTAAACCCTAAACCCTAAACCCTAACCCCGG